CCAGCATGTACAAAGGAATCCAAATTGCAAAGCAAATGGAGTGGAAACTTTCCAGCCCCCTGCCGAGCGCTGTTGGCAAGCCCAGGGCTGCAGCCCACTCGCTGTGCCCGTCGGAGAAAGGGGAATGGGCAGCGAGAGCCTGCCCCGAGCTCGCTGGCTGCACTGAGCCACACACACGCGGCGCTCCTGCCTCAGCTTTTGCCTCCTGCATGGCCCAGCCAGTGCTGTAGCCCCTTTGCATTTCCCCCTCTCCTCCCCACACCACATCCCTTAATGAGCTGAAGGGAGAGACCTGAGCTGAGCCCTGCACTGCCAGAGTGAAACCCACTGAGCAGTTCAGGGAAACCCTTCTTGCCCCCGACCCCGGCCTCCCCTTCCCCATGTGGCTGGAAACCCCCGTACTGGGCCCCACTTGTAGCCTCTCCCTGTTTGAGTCCCATCCTTCCCCACCCGCTCTAGGAGAGAGGAAATCCCCCTCGCCTTTGCACTTCCTTCCCTCTGCGCACGAAGCCGGCGCGAGTTCCCAGATGCGTGGGGAAGTAGGAGGGGCTGAACTCAAGCCGCGGGCCACTAGTGGTCCATGGACCACACTGAGAACCACTGCCCAAGGCACTTAATGCAGGAGAAATGCCCAGAAGCAGGCATGGCATCTCAACATAAGTCGCATCCCTTGAAGCCTAGTGAGCCAGGCATGTTGAGGCAGGGTAAAATACAGGAGAACGAAATGGTTGGTTTTTTTTAATGTTTTTATTTTGTTGACAAAAAAACAAAGGGAAAAGGTTGAAAAACTCTGAGAACAAGAAAAACTGATGAACTTGGATCTTTTTTTCGTTAATTAAGATGAAGAAAGGGAGACTGAAGGGGAGCTCTGTCTTCTGGTGAGGACGATAGAGAAAGAACTGACATCCTGCGTGTGCAACTAATAGACACCCACAGCACAAGGAGACACCACTGCGCATGCATAGCATGCTAGGGCACTGCTAGAAAAAATATCTCTGGGCGCCGGAGCAAAGACACACCAGCACACTAGAATAGAGCACCCACGGGGACACACATCTCAAAGAAGAATATTTGTTCCTCTCCACAGAAGGGGCAGAGGCTTTTGTACTGACAGCAATTCTGACAATTTTACAGCCATAATCCTTTATATCAGGGGCAGGCACTGAACAGCACCACTCAAAGAGGCTGGCTGCTCCTTGTGGCTCTCTGCACTATGGGAACATGGGGGGCTTTAGGGGCAACGAAGCACAATTTCTCAGCTCCCATTGGCCAGTTTCCAGCCAACAGAAGCTCAGAGATTTTTCAAAGGGGTGGGAGCAATGCCCAAAGCCTCACCCTGCAGATCAGAGAGCCACATGGAACAATCAGCTGCTTTGAGCAGTCTGCAGCTGCTGGAGAAGTCTGCCTGAGAGGGCTGCTGGCCGGGAGTTGATTAGGTAAGTGGCACCCGGCTGGAGCCTGCCTCTGGCATTCCACCCCATTCCGTACCCAAACTCCCTCCGAGACCCTGCACCCCCTTCAAACCCTCCCCGAGGCCAGAGTCCTCTCATGGATCCTGCACTCCAATCCCTTGCCCCAGGTCACAACCCCCTCCCTTCACCCAAACCCCCTCAGACCTTACACCCTCTCCTGCACCCCAGTCCCTACCCCAAGCTCCTTTCTGCACCCAACCTCTGCCCCACACCCCGCACTTCCTCCAAAGAATGGAGCCCTCGACTGCTTACCAAAATCTTGGCGTGGCCCCCCCATCAAAAATTATTGCCCACTCCTGCTTTATATAATGACGAAGATTTCATATACAGGGAGTAGAAATGTAGCAAAACATCTCAAAAGCTGCATGATCCCAGTCCTCCGTCACTCTCTCACTCCCTTCCTGCTTTCAGCAACTTCTCATAATGCAATCCAGTTAGGAGTTGTGGGCTCAGTACTCTGTTATGTACTTCAACTTTGTGTTATCCCTGCTTCTGTGCAATATTCACAAGAGCTATGTAGCCCTTGCAAGTCCTGCAGAAGCCTCATGTGTGCTTTTAATTAAAGGTGACCAAAAACCTCTAACCAGTAAGGTTGCTACCAGGATTTAATTATAAGGATTATTTTCTATACTCTCACCCTAAATCCACTAATTTAAAAGCATGTATGTTTTCACAATGTTTCAACAAACTTTCAGGGTGAAGTTGCTTTTCCTGAAAATGCTGAAGAAAACAGAATAAATGCTTTCCCAATTGAAGAGATTGTACTGAAGTGGTTGTGAAATATTCCTGACCCATATACTAAAAATAGAGTTTGATGTTAACTTGGGAAAATGTTTCCAACATAAACCTTGTGCAGAAGCTAGTTTAAAAGCAGACATGAAGTACACATTTAATTAGCATTATTCCTGAATAATGAATGAGCTGCCGCCACAGAAGCTGACAGATAAAACTGTCTCTGGACAAAATGTTCATTGACAGCCGCTTCCACTCACACACTGAATGAAGCAGGCTGCAGCTGGCACAGAACCTTACATGCTGTTAGACACAATTTTAATGACAACCGCGTCCACGCATTGTATCCCTCTCTCATCCAGTTCAGTATCACGTGCTATTTGCTTTGGAAGGAGTTTTCAAAAATGGCTGCGGGCATTGGCTACCCCTCTCTCTGAGGCACTTCAAAATTCTCACTCTGGTTTCATTCATCCCATGCTGCACCATCCCTCAGCCCACTGCATCGAAAATGCATGAAAGCAGAAAGGTTGGGGTTCAAACTCTGCGGAAGAGTGTGGCGTGTACAAGCCTCTGCCATCTGTTACTGTCGTTTCTTCATTAGACAAGGAAGCCTAAGGGCAAAGGGGGCAACTGAAGAGGGAAGGGTGACTGTAGGAATCCTGAGGGTACATAGCTGTACATCAGGTACATAGCTGATGAGTTCTGGAGCATCCCCTGCTTCTCAGCTCACAAATAACGTTCCTCATTTCAGATCCCCTCTGCAATGAGCCTCCCTCTTCGCTCCTCGGCTCTCCTGCAGCCTTCTAAACTCTGCCGTGACTACAGCAGAATAGGTGCACTCTCTCATGTGCTTTTGAACCATAGAAACATTATTCCTGATACCTGAAGTCTGCAGCACCTCTTGCTTGCTTAGTAACATAACATTTAGAAGAGGACTACATATTATGTACTACTCTTTAAATGATGTCACTAGATTGACACTTTACTGAAAATTGGCATGGGGATCAGTAACCATAAACAGCCAAGGCTTCATATTTTAGTTCTCGGATTAAAAAAAGAAATAATCTTCAGTGCTAGGCGGAGCACTGAATCCAGTAGTGTCTCCAAGGGAGGACGCAACACCACAACCTGCACTATTTAAGCTTTCCTTAGGAGTGCCCCCTCCAAGAACAGAGCAGGTCCACTCCTATTTAGTTTGTGAGTGCAGATGATCTCACAGTACAAGCAAGTGCAGAAGGTATAGCTATCTGAATCAGAGTTTCAAGCCTTTCAGAATATCAACTCTTATTCCTGTACCCTTTAATGACTTTTCCCCATCCTTCTAGCAGCACAGAAATGTAAGAGATGCCCATAAAGAAGATTATGTATGTCTTCAAGAAACCAAAAGGAGCTAGGTTGTGGAGACAACTTTTTTCAAAAACAAAATCATCCGTGACTAGTGATTTATAAGGCAAAAAAAACTGCAGCCAAAGAGACTTGATTTTGTTTAAATTATCTATTTGTGCCTGTTCTCCTTAACATGACACTTTTGTAAGGTATACTGTGTTCTTCACATCTAGTTGGGATTGAAGGGGGCAGACACATGGCTCACACCTCAACCTACAGAACAGATTCAGCAAACTCATTAAAAACTACTATTCAAGACACTGTAACTAGGGATTTCAAGAATGAATGTTTCCACAGAGTGAATTCAATCCTAGAGGCTGCCCCCTCCATATACATGCCACATGGCAGGATGTGACCCATTCCTTTCAATTCTCTGTGGCACTAGTGAGGCAACATCTGAAATATTGCATCAAGTTTGGGGTCATCATTGCAGAAAGGACATGGACAAACTGGAGAGAGTCAAGCAGAGGGCAATGAAAATGATTAGGGGGTTGAGGTACATGACTGATGAGGAGAGGCTGAGGGAACTGGGCGTATTTAGTCTGCAGAAGAGTGAGAAGGGAATTTGATAGCAGCCTTCAGCTACCTGAAGGGGTAGGGGAAGTTCCCAAGGGGATAGAGCCAGGCCGTTTTCAGTGGTGACAGATGACAGAGTATAGAAATAGTTAAGGAGCAATGGTCTCAAGTTGTCTAGGTTGAATAGTAGGAAAAATGATTTCCCTAGCAGGGTGGTAAATGCACTGGAATGGGTTTCCTAGAGAGGTAGTGGAATCTCCATCCTTACAGGTTTTTAAGCCCCAGCTTGACAAGGCCTGGCTGGGATGATTTAGTTGGGGTTGGTCCTGCTTTGAGTAGGGGGTTGGACTAGATGACCCCCTGAGGTCTCTTCAAACCCTATTCTTCTAAGATTCTATGCTGGTAAACCTGAGGGAATAAAAAAAGAAGACACCAACAAGTGGTAGTAGGAAGGTAGGAAAGGCTGACTTTGAATGCAAAGTATCAATAGTTCCCACATCACCTTCTAATGGTAGTGTGGGAGCCATATGCTGTTCCATCAAGTTCCTTTAAAATACCACCTCCTACAGACTATGGCTGGGGATGGCAATCAGCCCATAACATATTTAATTATAAATCCCTGGGAACTGGGGTCACTAGAAATGCAAACAGTGCCTTATGGTACTAGAGGGCTACTTCAGACACCCCCTACACACCATCATCAATACATGCACACACACACACCAGGCCAGATGCCCCTTTACAGGGAGGCACCATTACACCATTCTGTCACTATAAAGAAGCCTTGAAAAGGGCATCAAGTCAATTACACTCACTTTAAGGCCTGCTTACAATGACAGAGTGGTGTAAAACAGAGACAGTGTAACAGGAGTCAGGCTCAGGACAGCCACTTACCGCTGGCAGCTGGACACAGTTGGAACTGACATCATATTCAATATATGCTTCTTCTATCCCCGCCTCTGATTTCCCATCCTTCGTATAACAAACATCCCTGGTCCAAGTGGTCATGCGGTCCACGTCCTCCATTGTATAGACACAGAGTGCAGACTCCTCACTCGGTTTGCCAGATGAAGCCTGCCAGGCAGAAAAGGCAGTGAACAACACCTCTCCTTGGGTACTGGATCTCCCTCTTCCCAGATCACTTCCTGGTTGGGTGACATAAGCAGCTTGCAGTAGGCTGTATGTTTTCTCTTTGCTCCTACAGAGTAATGGTAATTCCACATAGGAGTAATAGTGAGAGTCATCCAGGCAGATCCGTGAGATATAGGTCTTGTACTCCCGTGACTGGGACTTGAGATCCCGGCGATAAAACAGGAAGTAAACGCTGGAGCGGTGGGTAAAGGATTTGATGAAATGGTGGTTATACTCGGAGAGCCGACCCACAGCCAGCTTAGCTGTTTCTTCATAGGAGAAGATGGAGTGAGAATCGGTCCCTTGCACATCCCCCCCATAGGCCCTGAGATTTCGGGTGGTGATAGGAGGTATTCCCCCTCCCACCCCTCTGCTGGTATACCCTCGTCCCACAAACAGCAGGGGCACATCATCTTTTGAGTGGCTTACTAGTCCCACAGTAGTGATATCTGGGTCATTTGCAGCCACATACTGAGTATCTCCAGGGCTCTCTGGTCGGAAGAGAACATGGTCGATGGACGTGAGGCTCCTTTTTTCACAGATCCCCTGGTACACACTGCCACATACAATGAGCTCCTCCTGCAGAGAGTTCACTAGTAATAGCTTGTTGTGATTGTCAGTGCTGTGTGCCTGGGGACATTCCAGCTTTGAGACAGGGGGCAGGCAATCTTTACTGTCCAGAACTGGCCCAGTTTGAACTGTACTCTCCATCATCAGGTTTGATGTCAGTTGGAAAAGAAAGTTGATGGCCCCCAAATAAAGAGTCCCAGACTCAGAGTCTATAGTCAGGTGAAGGAATTTTGTGGTGTTGTGTGAAAAGGTGACATACTGCAGCAGTCCCCTTGGCGTTACTGCCCCCAGGAAACAGAGAGCAGGAAGAAGGAAAGATCCCAGAGACATGGTAAACATTCTGCAAGAGAGAGAAAGCTGTTACCCCATGGAGCCAAATCACATTATTCTAACATTGGACTTTTATTATGAGAAGAGGTGGGTGAAGAGAACAGTGGCCAATTCTAGCCAGAGATAAAACAACAAAGGATGAATTTTTATATGCTATCAAAAGCAGGAAGCCCAAGGAAGCATCAATGGTTTTGCTTTTCCACCAGAGTGTTAAGGTGACATGCACAGAGTAAAATAAGATTGCTGAAACACTTTTACCAGATTACCTCATTTATTGGTGGATATCCCCATCACCAAGACTTTCATTGTGGGCCCAGAACTTGTGTTGGTTATCTGAGAAACAGGGACTCGATATTCAGTTTTCCTCAAGAGAAGACTTGCCAAAGCATAAATTCTCTGACTCAACAATGTTACCGTCAGCAGAAGGCCCTATTTATACTGTAAAAATTAGCATATCAGAGAGTTGGTTCAAACTCAGAAACCCGTAACAATAGGTCAAACACAATATGTCCTTGCTGTACAGACAGAAGTGAGCCTAGTTTACCCATGCTCCTAGACTGTACTACAAACTAGGGATGTTAAATTGTAGTAATCGACTAATGGAATAGTCGATGCATTTTGCATTGACTATTCAATTAGTCAATAGTGCACCTCCACCTTAGAAGTGTGGCAACAGCCCTAGGGCTGTTATTACACTTAGAAGGCGGAAGTGCTATACAGAGCCTGGGTCTGACCCCGGGCTCCGTGCACTGCTGCCGCCTTGAAAAGCCACAGGAGCCCAGCAACAAGCTCCTTGCGGTGTTTCAAAGCAGCAGCGCCCCATGAAGCCCGGGATTTGCTGGGGACTCCCCTGCTGACCCTGGGCTCCATGAGGCGCTGCTACTTTGAAATGCCTCGTGCAACCTCAGGACAACCCAACTGGCCCCAGGTTGCACAGAGCGTTTCAAAGCCGCAGCGCTGCATGGAGCCCAGGCTCTGGCCCCAGGTTCCACACAGCACTGCCACTTTGAAGTACCCCCTCCTCGCCTCTTTCTGAAAGCGACTAGTTGAATAGCCCGTCGACTATCCAAGAAGCATTTGCTTATCGTATAGTCAACTAGATGACTAGTTTTCACATCCCTACTACAGACATAGGCATTAGCAGTGTTGAGTATTGAGAATTATCCAGGAAAGGGAACATGTGTAGAGAGAACTTAGCACATTATGAACAACAATGGTCCTGCAGCCCCTTGGAGACTTACCAAAAAATATGTAGATAGGATCATGAGCTTTCATGAGCACAAGCCACATCTTCAGATGACAAATATCATCTATATATTTGTTAGCTGAAGAAGTAGGTTGTGCCCATGAAAGCTCAAGATACCATCTATATATTTTTTGGTTAGTCTCTAGGTGCTGCAAGACCATTGCTGTTTAAGGGGTTTTTTTGTTTGTTTGTTTGTTTTTTAAGTTACAAACTAACACGGCTACCCTTCTGAGATGAAGTACAATATGGGCATTACTCAAGAGTAACATTTCATGATGATAATATACCATAGTTTTGGGGAAAAATACAGTTCACTTCTGGCTCACTGTAGGACTGAAATGAAATGTATTTTAGACATTTTTTACAGTGTAGGTGGGTCTCAGATTATACTAATAGATTCAAACTATTCTACATGTCAATCAAGCACAACTGTCAGTGTTCAGAGAAAGTATACTGTTTTGGAGCCTACCTCTCCTCTCTCTTCTCACACCTCCAATCCTGGCTTCCAGTTCTCTTTCCAATATTTTGAGCCCATATAGAGGCATTTCAGATTGCAAATCAATGTCACTTGGAAGTCTCACAAGGACAGTGCCTGTTCTCGGTTCTACTCTGACTCATACAAAACAGAACCTGACAAGTTCCCAAGAACCAACATTGTTCCTATTACACATCCTGCGGTTTCCAAAACATACATTTCCCTCGGCTCCATTCATTTCCTATTAGAGAACATCAACAATCAATATTGAGCCTCAGCACTAGTCTAATAAAGAGAACAAAATAAGCCAGGCTTCTCTTATTGACCAATTCACAGACTGACACTCTTCTGCATCCATTGCTATGGTAACCATCCATCTGCCTGCGAAAGGTCAGAGTTGGCTCAGCTGGCCCAGCAGAAACCCAGCAAGACGCTTCAAAGATCTGCACAGGCATTTCTCTCTCCTCCTCGTCCCTGATGCATCTTACTCCAAGAATATTTACTTGTCATGGCAAATGTTATCAAAATGTAAAACTGAGACAAACCACCCCAGTCTTTCTGAGGGGACAAGGCAGCCTACCCAGGCCAGAGCATCCCTGTGATTAGGTTTGATTCTCTGTGCCCCTCTCCCCTTGCACTCTTTGGAAACAATGGCTCCTACCTGCTTTTCAGAAAGATGGCTACTTTATTCAGTGCCGAATGAGATCACAGGCCTTCTGGAGACACTGCACTGGACAGTAACTGAAGCTGAATTTCTCAGAGCAGTGGTCCACAACCTTTTGGGGGTGGGGCCATGTGTGCACCGAGCACCCGGAGGCGGGGCCGCGCGCGTGCTGCGCATCCAGAGGCAGGGCCGCGTATCCGTTGCGCGCTCGGGGCGGGGCCACGCATGTGCCACATGCAGGGCCAGCTTTAGGTTTTTTACCTCCCCAAGCAAAAAAATGTTTGGCCACCCCCCGCCCGCTGCTGCAGGCCAGGCACTGAGGAGGAAAGCACCCCTTTCACCTTGCAGCTCTTTGGCTCCCACCTAGCCCTCCAGCCAAACCCAGCCTACGTCTTGTCTCCCCCCCCACACACACATCCCAACCCCCCCCCCCACCAAATTCAGTTTCCACCTCCTCTCCCCTCCCAGGCAAACTCGACTCCTCAGTGACCAGACGCAGTCTGCCCCCCTTCTGTCCCCCACCTGCTCCACCCTGCGCCCTCTCCCGATGCCTGTTCTCACTTCTCTGGTTGTCGGTTTGAACTCTAATGCCCTCCTCTCAGGCGACCAAAGGGGGAGAGTCCTGCCAAGGAGTTTGCATGGGGGGGGGGCGCGCACATTGGCAAATGAGGGCGACTCTCCCCCTTTTCTCTACCTCAGTGCTGGTCGGAGGGAGGGGAGAGCTGCAGCCATGGGGGGCCAGGCAGAAGGAAGGCCCGGCCAGGATGATTCAAGCAGAGGTGCCTAGGCTAGGGGGAGGGGAGAGCTACTTTGCAGCCCCATCTGGTTGGTCTGGCGGTGAGGAGCCGCTGGAGGGGGCCTCCCCTGCCCCAGCTCAGAGACTGGGGGGAGGGAGAGAGGTGTCCCTGGCCTTGCCCTTTAGGTTTCCCGACTGTGTCCGTGCACATCCCCAGGGAGACCTGTGCCACTTTCACCCCTCCCCCAGGGTGCTCTGGCATTTCCGCGCGTGCTGGGGGGAGGGGACATGAGGGTTTGGCGGGGAGAGGGAAAGGAGACGGAGTTCGGTCAGTGGGGGGAAGTGGGAATCGGGTTTGGCTGGGAGGGGAGAGGAGGTGGAAACTGGGTTCGGTGAGTGGGGGGGGGGGTTGGGATGTGTGTGGAGGAGAGACAGGACTTTGGCTGGAGGGCGAGGGGGGGGCCAAAGAGCTGCAAGGTGAAAGGGGTGCTTTCCTCCTCAGTGCCTGGCCTGCAGCAGCGGGCGGGGGGGGGCCAAACATTTTTTTGCTTGGGGAGGTAAAAAACCTAAAGCTGGCCCTGCTCGCGGCACATGCATGGCCCTGCCCCAGGATGCACAGCACACACGCGGCCCTGCCCCCAGTCGCCCGGTGCATGCACGGCCCCACCCCCAGGCGCCTGGCAGCCCCAAAAGGTTGGGGACCACTGATCTAGGCCGGGCTTGGTCCTGCCACGAGTGCAGGGACTCGATGACCTCTTGAGGTTCTTTCCAGTCCTAGTGTTCTGTGCCTCTGTAGCTATGACCAGGAGCACGGTCTCGTTATTTTGACAAGTCACATAGGCAGACCTCAATTTGTGGGTAGCACCTGGCAGAATACTCATACTTTCCCCTACTTGCCCCCAGTCTGACCTCAGCATGACCTTAATCCTGTGCTCAAAGTGGTGCTGTTTGTCACAAAGCAGGAAACTAGCTTACCATACTGCGAGGGAAGATTACCACCCGATGAATGGTGAGAGACAACTGGGTTGTATCTCAGACTTCATCTACACCGGCAAGTTACAGTGCAGCAATTCAGCTACCAGCACTGTTAACTTCCAAGGTGTCCACACTGGGAAGACAGTTCACACACTAACTCCACTGTTGCTGCGCTCTAGATAAATCACCTCAGCAACAGGCTACAGCGCTGGGGTGCCAGTGTGGACCACAACACTGAAAGTCTCTTCCAGTAGCTGTCACACGATGCCTGTTCTCACTCCTCTGGTTGTCAGTTTGAACTCGAATGCCCTCCTCTCAGGCGACCAAAGCTCAGACCTCCCTTTCACATTCCTTTGGAATTTTGAAATGCGTGGAGTGCTCTCAGTACATCTTTCCAGGTGACCATGCCTACTCCACGCACCAGGAGATCCCATACTTCAAGCCATGTTAAGCTCATCAGCATTTGGGCAGAGGAGGCCGTCCAGTCCCAGCTGCACTGCAACCATAGGCGTTATAATACCTATGGGCAGCTATAAAAATGCCTCAACCATGACACACTGCAGTGCATGGCCAAGTGAAAGAGCTGGGAAACGCCTACTAAAAGGTGTGGGAGACAAAGCACCTGCACTAAGTCCTGTGGCCACAACATGCCAGTTCTACAACGCGCTGGACGACCTCCGTAGGGATGACTCCACCTCCCCATGGATACTTCAGGGCCTCCGGAGCCATTCCAGAGTCCACCAAGCTATGAGCAGGAAATCACGGACAACCTGCCAAGGGGCCAGAGCCAGAGGATGACTATTTTTTACCTATTAGGAGGTTAGCCAGTTGCAGCAATTGGAGGGTGGGGATGCACAAACAGCAGAGGACGTGTCTGATTTTTTCAACATTGAAGGGGGATTGCAGAAAGCAGGGCTGGGTCTGTGTGGTGCTAGTATCAACAGGGCTAAGTCAGATGTGGAGCAGGGTGTTGAAGCACTCACTCACTTCATGGTAAATGACCTCACAATCTCATCGAAAGTCTCACGCAGATGCTGGGTAACTTGCCTCTGTAGGTTCTTTAGCAGAGCTGCTGTGCTCATTGTCCCATGAAGGGTAACATTCCAAGGCCACCGGGCCAGAAGGGAAGGAGGGGCATTGCTGCAGACAGGCAAGCTGTGTAAGCACCAGGACAGAAGCCAGAGTCCTGCAGAACAGCCTCCCTTGCTTCCCTTCTCACCCTTGGCAGCAAAATATCTTTCAGATTGAACACAGCCTGTGTACAATGTGTGAATGTTCCTGATTACAGGACCCCGCTGTACACTCATGCCTAGACTACAATAAGGCCCTGCAACATAAAATTCCACTGCCCCAGTGGTTAGCCCACCATTTGGGGGGGTGGGGCTTCTGTCTTGTGTACGCTTGCCCTGGTCAGCCAGTCAGTGATACATGAACAGTGCTGATGTTTAAACTGGGTGGTGTGAGTACGCTGTCTAGTGTTAACAATGGTCCCGCTATGAAATATTACATTTTGGTGTGTCAGATTTAACGTTAGGCACCCACCTGTCCTTGTTATCTCCTGGTGAATGGCTGTGCAGGCAGGGAAGTGGCTTCAGCAAAATAAAAAGAACTTGTTGGGTCATGTTATGTTGGCAGCTGCTGAAAAGAAAGAATTGAAGGAGTCGAGGGACGATGAGAGGAGGGAGCAGAAGGAGAACGCTGAGCAGCAGCAGGAAGCCACGGAGCAGCTCTTAAGCGTTATGAAGCACCAAGCTGACATGCTGCAAGCTCTTCTAGCACTGCAGACAGAGCAGCTCCACAACCACCTACCCCCACATAGCCAGTATCCCAAAACTATTTTCCATGCATCCGAGTCACTGCCAACACATTTTGGGCACCATCCTGTATCCCGTCAGCACCTGCTGACCTCCCCACCTGCCTCTTCACTGTCCAAAGCGTTATGAAGCACCAAGCTGACATGCTGCAAGCTCTTCTAGCACTGCAGACAGAGCAGCTCCACAACCACCTACCCCCACATAGCCAGTATCCCAAAACTATTTTCCATGCATCCGAGTCACTGCCAACACATTTTGGGCACCATCCTGTATCCCGTCAGCACCTGCTGACCTCCCCACCTGCCTCTTCACTGTCCATCCCATG